GAAGAAATTAAAAAATACATAGAAACAAATGACAACGAAAACACGACGACCCAAAACCTATGGGATGCAGCAGAAGCAGTTCTAAGAGGAAAGTTTATAGCAATTCAATCTCGCCTCAAGAAACAAGAAAAATCTCAAGTAAACAATCTAACCCTACAGACTTAAAACAACTAGAGAAAGAAGAAAGAAAACCCAAAAGTAAGTAGAAGGAAAGAAATCATAAAAATCAGAGCAGAAACAAATGAAATAGAAATGAAGAAAACAACAGCAAACATCAATAAAACTATAAGCTGGTTCTTTGAGAAGATAAAGAAAACTGATAAACCCTTAGCCAGACTCATCAAGAAAAAAAGGGAGAGGACACAAATCAATAAAATTAGAAATGGAAAAGGAGAAATCACAACTGACACTGCAGAAATACAAAGGATTATAAGAGACTACTACAAACAACTATATGCCAGTAAAATGGACAACCACAAAGAAATGGACAAATTCTTGGAAAGGTACAATTTTCCAAGACTGAACCAGGAAGAATTAGAAATAATAAACAGACCTATCACAAGTAATGAAATTGAAACCATAATTAAAAATCTTCCAACAAACAAAAGTCCAGGACCAGATAGCTTCACAGGTGAATTCTATCAAACTTTTAGAGAAGAGCTAACACCCATCCTTCTCAAACTCTTCCAAAAAATTGCAGAGGGAGAAACACTCCCAAATTCATTCTATGAAACCACCATCACCCTGATACCAAAACCAGAAACAGGTATCACAAAAAAAGAAAATTATAGACCAATATCAATGATGAACACAGATGCAAAAATCCTGAACAAAATACTAGCAAACAGAATCCAACAACACATTAAAAGGATCATACACCATGATCAAGTGGGATTTATCCCAGGGATGCAAGGATTCTTCCATGTACACAAATCAATCAATGGGATACACCACATTAGCAAATTAAGGAATAAAAATCATATGATCATCTCAGTAGATGCAGAAAAAGCTTTTGACAAAATTTAACACCGATCTATGATAAAAACTCTCCAGAAAATGGACATAGAGGGAACCTACCTCAACATAATAAAGGCCATATATGACAAACCCACAGCAAGCATCATACTCAATGGTGAAAAACTGAAAGGATTTCCACTAAGATCAAGAGAAGAAAAGGATGTCCACTCTCGCCACTCTTACCCAACATAGTTTGGGAAGTTTTAGCCACAGCAATCAGAGAAGAAAAAGAAATAAAAGGAATACAAATTGGAAAAGAAGAAGTAAAACTGTCTCTGTTTGCAGATGACATGATACTATACATAGAGAATCCTAAAGATGCCACCAGAAAACTGCTAGAACTAATCAATGAATTTGGGAAGGTTGCAGGATACAAAATTAATGCACAGAAATCTCTGACATTCCTATACGCCAACAACGAAAAATCAGAAAGAGAAATTAAGGAAACGCTCCCATTTACGATTGCAACAAAAGGAATAAAATACCTAGGAATAAACCTGCCTAAGGAGGCAAAAGACTTGTACTCAGAAGACTATAAAACACTGATGAAAGAAATCAAAGACGACATAAACACGTGGAGAAATATACTATGTTCTTGGATTGGAAGAATCAGTATTGTGAACATGATTATACTACCCAAAGCAATCTACAAATTCAATGCAATCCCTATCAAACTACCAATGGCATTCTTCACAGAATTAGAACAAAAAATTTTACAATTCGTATGGAAACACAAAAGACCCCAAATAGCCAAAGCAATCTTGAGAAAGAAAAACGGAGTTGGAGGAATCAGGCTCCCCGACTTCAAACTGTACCACAAAGCTACAGTAATCAAGACAGTATAGTACTGGCACAAAAACAAATATAGATCAATGGTACAGGATAGAATGCCCAGAGATAAACCCACACACATATGGGCACCTAATTTATGACAGGAAGCAAGAGAACATACAATGGAGAAAAGACAGCCTCTTCAATAAGTGGTGCTGGGAAAACTGGACAGCTACATGTAAAAGAATGAAATTAGAACACTCCCTAACACCATATACAAAAATAAACTCAAGGGGGCTTCCCTGGTGGCGCAGTGGTTGAGAGTCCGCCTGCCGATGCAGGGGACACAGGTTCGTGCCCCGGTCCGGGAAGATCCCACGTGCCGCGGGGCGGCTGGGCCCGTGAGCCGTGGCCGCTGGGCCTGCGCGTCCGGAGCCTGTGCTCCGCGGCGGGAGAGGCCACAGCGGCGAGAGGCCCGCGTACCGCAAAAAAAAAAAAAAGTGTATAATTAATAAACTAATATGAAGAAAAAAGAACACCCCAACAATGAAAGTTAGTGGAGATACTGAAATAGGTAATACACTTTCCAGAGATTTAAAACAAACCAGTCAATAAAATCTCACTAGAGTTATGCAATGGGTACCTTATTAAATCTTCTTTGATTTGCATGCTGTCCTCTACATTAATTAGCGGGAAAAACGTCAAAAGCCCAAAATCAAAACATATTTACAAAAGCCAGCAACATCAAGTAATAAACAAACTTGTCTATTAAATATTATTTCTGAGGTACAGAAAAATGAAACAAAGCTAATGAAAAGATGGGTCTGGAATATTCATTCTGGAATCAATTTCATTCAACAAAGTAATTAAGAAGTCTATTGTGTATCAACTGACTCTGCCTAAACACACAAAAAAATTCAAAAAAAAACTGAACTACTAAAAAAATAACAAATACCGGAAAGATATCCCAGCTTTGATAAGCAAACATATAAAGCTGCAGGGTACTGAACCACACAGAACTTTCAAAACACAGAAACGTGAA